ATTCTAGTTGTTCTTCTTCCTATGTTAATGACTAATAATTCCTCTACTTCTACCTTATTTGTAGATAATTTAGTACTCTTAACCTCTTTTCATTGTTCATTTACCAAGCCGTTTCCTTACACATACATTCTTCAAGTTCTCGACTAAAGTATTTCCCATCATCCATTCCGCTGAGACGTTTCAGCCGGATGCTAAAATTAAAAGGGTTATCCTTCGCCTCGAATCAGCTCGAATAATTCTGTCATCTCACTACTGTGTTCCACTACTTGCACACTACATCTGTCTAAGTCAGTTTTGACCTGTCTCATTACTGTCAGTTTCCACTCTTTTAAGGAAACATTGATGGGCGCTCTTAGTGGCTTGATCATCGGGATGATAGAGTCGTGGCGCGTGTTAATCTGTCGTTTGTTCGTGCAGGCATCAAGTGTGTAGGCGCGCTGAGTTATCAAAGTGGTTTGCAATTTCATAGGTCATAACTGGGGGAGGTCCAATCAACTACGTGAAAAATTGCGTGTTACAGATAATAAATGTGCCGGATAATAAATGACTTTTTCACTATGATCACTTTTAGTGTTTGGGACATAAAAAATCACTTAAAGGTGCATCGTCACTTTTCTTATATGGAAAGCCTTAAAACTCACCACCTACTTGTTTTATACTTTTCGCTTCTCGAGGTTTATCAAACTCTTTGCAGTATTATTACCGGAATACGACCAGTTTATGATCAAGTGACCCGCCATGGTGGTAAAACTCATGTATTTTAATTTGACGCTTATGGAGGTTCAAAACTTAATGTTCATGCGTGTGTGTGTGTACTTGTGACACATCAATTGGTGGAAATTTGTCTGCTTCTATTTCACAGAGGAAGAGGCATTGACATTTTCATTCAAGCTGCCTTGTGGGCAATGTCTTATGTGTTTGTTCTTGAAATACTTGCCTTGTAATAAAAGTGGAAAGGAGTGGCCTTTCACCCCTACAGCCTTTGGAGATTAAGGCGTGAATCAAATTTCCTCTAGTGCTGATTGTGATAAATTATTTCTCCTGAGGATTCTCTTGCTGACTCCATTCTGAACCACAAGAACTGACTGAAGTTAGAAGGGGAGAGGCAGTGAAAGAAATCGGAGTGTGCATTAATTAAGACGTTTATGGGGTGTGCATAAAATTCTCTTCCTTTTTTAGCCTTGCATCAATCAGATGGGCATTGAATCTGAAGGTAGTTAATTTTGTCTTCGAATAGTGTACAGAATTTGTCTTTCCGTTTGCATTTCAATCTGGCAACAGGATGGCAGCTCCACGTGAATAATTTAATGCAGGTAGGCCTCATCAGGAGGCTCTCGTATGAGACATCCAGCATATAAGACTTTAGTTCTGCATGCACACTTCTGGTGAGGAAACTTGCTACATTTTTTCCCATTTTGGAGAGACATTTCCTTTGTTTGGAAATGCCAAAGGCCTGCAACAACGTTATTTTTTGCCAATTTTTCTGTCTGGATGGAGGCGTGTTTGTTGGTTTGTTTGTAAGCTTCAGGTATCCGTGCTTTGTATGAAACGTTTCCGATTTTTTTAGGCGAACAAGTGATGAAAAGGTTATTGAAATAGTTGGCCAACGGTACCATTGAAAGGAGAAGAGGTTGGTGAATTAACTAAAATCTCCATCTAGGTTGCAAGCATTCAGCAAATCAGCTCAAACACTTCACAGAACAGGCATTTAACCCAACTCTGAAAGACAGTACTCAATTTTTCTTGCAGCCAATCGCTAAGCCATTTCGGGCGCTAAGGTAGTGTTTTAGTCAGGAAAATGCTTAGTGGTGGATTTCATAGCCTGTACTTTTGATAAAACATCGGTGAACTGTTTGAAAATTTTCCTCTTCTGTTCGCAAATAGTACTTGAAAGAAACAAAGAATCGTTTTCAATTTATTTGCGATGCCACTGTAACCTGAGAGGATTCAATGATTAAATTAACCGACAACGGCTTCCAGTGCTATAGAAATAAATTTTAGTGCAATCAAGTGCACGAAACGTAGGCTTAGTTCCCAATGTAGGCACAAGTTAATACATGTCCTGAGTTACTTTTGCTGTAGGGCGGCTTTACATCACGCCTGTCGACTGATGGACGGACGGTTGGTTGGGATCAACGGCCGCCGAAAAGGTCGCTTTTATGGATCAGCCAACCGACCAGTGGTCATAAAGTCAAGCACCGTAATGACCCCATCATCACCGACTCCTTATAATCATAATATACCCATACATTTGATTGCCTCACTGACCTCTCCCTCTCTCGCCACTTCCACCAAATATGCACTACTTGATAGCGATGATTGTGGTGTTTGAGAGTGGACTTTTGCAGAGCCCCATTTTTCCTGAATCGATTGTGGGATCGGCCTAATGTAAATCTAAAAGTGACATCTTGTACATGCATAAACGTTTAAATGGAAGTTATCCATATAAGTGTGGTAGAAACGTACTTCAAATCTAGATACGAATGCTTTCGAGAGATCTTTCCCTCCATAGCTAGAGCAAGAGGTCAAATGTTTATGCGGTATTTACAGTCACATCGAATAGCTGTAAAGTGATTTTGCCAAGTTTTCAACTTTAGATTTTGACTTCTTGTTCAGGCGACTTAGTGTGGGTGGTGTTGATTGTGAGAAGTTGCAATCTAACTTCCTCATTACATTTGTCCATTGGATGTATTGATGCGGATCTTGCTTCTTCATTTCATTTCCGGTCGAATTCAAGGCATTTTTTTTCGCGCACCAATGAACACCTATGCTCACCAAACACTTAAAACTTTCCTGTTGCAGTTAACCGCGTTGTCTGTATTTGCGCACTTGGAGCGCCTTGTGTAGACACTTCGGCAATTTATTTCGTTCACTCCGGAGCCTCATTTGCAAGAAATATTTGGCAGAAGCGGTGCAGAAAGAGATGCCTTGCTGAAGGGGAGAAGACGAAGAAGGAGGAGGAGGAGAAGGAAAGGAAAAACTGGTCTAGTTTACACAGACTTTTCGGACAGCCTGTAGTAAACTTCCCTTCCCGGTGATATCCGTGTTGTTGGTTGCATAAGGCAACCAACTATGCCAGTCGGAGGTCTACTTAACATTGTACCATTTTTACTGAATCCAGATTTGCGTCCGCTCATCCACTTTATTTTTACTACTTTTTATCAAAAGCAAGCCCCTCTAGTGCCTATTTGTTCATGTTCGTCGTCGACATCACTTTAGATAAACTGATTAAGGTCGAATTAATAGAATTTTTGAAAATAGTGTAACAGTGCTCCAACGTATTTGTAAGTACTTAAAATTCCAGAATTCGCTCAACGCCTACGACCGAGATTGAGACAATTTTCTTGTGACTACTCAGTTGCCACACTTTTAGGGAGTCGGTGTTTCTGCAATGTCACGGATGCATGTGGTCTTCCTCCTAAAGAACGTCGCTTCTCGAATGATCGTGTTGGCGGAGCCGGATATCGACCCTGATCCTCGCTTTCTTCATTGTCTCCTCCAGGCTGCTCCACCGAAACCTTTCGAAAAGGGACAGTCCAGTTGTGCCAATCCTGTGTAAGCTTTGTAGGCTATTGAAGTTACTCCAAATCATCCGCCATTCTGGCCTGTTTCCACTATTGATTGTAGTTATCCTTTCACCAAACCAGCGGCATTTGTCTAAAAGCCCATCGCTGACTCAGACATCTCATCACCGCTCTATGCATTCATTTCCGTTACAATTTGTCTAGACACTTTCAAGTCCATCTACACAGCCCCTCGTAGTAGCGTATGGTGTTGAGTTCTACTTAGAACGGTGTAACGATGCGAAGACAGTCAAAGAGTTTTATAGTTCTGGCGTCAATATGCTAATTACTGACGCCCATACCCGCTTTAGAGAGGCGGGTATTATGGCGCAGCGCGGTGGCGGCAAGGCGGTGGTGGTGACGATTGGGGAGGGAAAGACGACTAGAGGATAAGACAATCAGCCGTTTCCTTAATGTTCCCTACGGATGAGTGTGTTTACGAGTCTGAGTCATCGGTACTCTTGGTGTTTCTGCATGCGTGTCTATGTATCTAGCAAACTTGTTGTGAACACCGCACACACCAGAGAGGCAGCAACAAGCATGTGGCACTACACACACCACAACCACCAGACCCATAAATAATCAGGCAATTTTGGTCACCTGATTTAATTTTGCAGTTGACTCACTTTTTGGGGCCTCCACTTCCTTCTTTCCACACGCCAAGGAATAGGGAATTAAGGTGGTAGAACGTGTCTTTTATCCTCTGCCTCCTTTGTAGAATTCAAGAGAGGATTCAGAAGTATGTCTGCAGCCAGAAACGCCGATATAAATGCTTCCCAATCACGAGTAAGTGACAAACACATTCACTAACTATCCTAAGGTGCACGTACTGTTTAAACCTACTTTTGCTTCAAAACAAACTGTTGCTAGGACCCCCATGCATGCAGCTAGGGTAAATAAACAGACCTAGGTGATGGTATGTTTTCCACTGCTGCTACTAAAGCTGAAAATTGGACCCCTAATGATAAGATCAATGTAAGAGGGTAAAAATCAAGAATCTTTGATTGCTATTGAAGCATAAAATAATGTGATCATTTTCGTTGTCTCAACTTAAATTCACTTTCTTTTTCTTCCTTCATTTACCTTAATGCGCGAGAATTCGCCTCATACCTTGCCCAACAATTAATCAGAATCACCTTAACTGTCGTTTCTTTGGTCCTTCTGTGTTCATAAATCTTAGTAGTGTTTCTGGAACTTCTAGCCTTCTCACTTTTTATCCCATTTTATAGCCAATCTGCCCTGCTGGTGCACGTGAAGTTGGCTGCACACACGGAAGACAATGTAAATTTACTCTTGCTCCTATTTGCACATTTTCCGTGTTCCAAAAATTGAAGTAAATTTTGTTAGTTCGTTAGAGCGCTGCGGTTCTTCTTTCCCCTTCCAAATGCCCTCACGCTGATCCATGTCTGCTCCATTCTCGCTTACGAATGACAACAATGACGTTCGTAGCCGATGCAATAACAGTTACAGAAACATGCACTCTCACCAAGCCCGGTCTCGGGCTAATCACTCGACACATGTATGTGGGTTTCTCCCAAGAAGCATTGTTTGGAATGCTTCATATGTGGGTATTGTGGATGGAGTAGTAGATGGTGAAGTAAATTCGCATTTACTGAGGTTCATTAAAAGTCGTCAGCAATGCGTTTTGCACAAGGAATTGCAAAATTCTAAAATCGACTAGTTAGTGCCTTACATTGTCAAATATCGGTTTCTTGGACTTGAGGATGTTGACGTAAAGTGGGTTGAAGCACGAAGTTGGGATTTATCAGTCTTTGTGACCTCGAGGTTTTGAGATGTCCGAAAATTAGATGTCGCTAGAGTGAGTCCCAGTAATTTTCAGGAAAAAGTGAGTCAGACCAGCGGCGGAAACGCCATACTCGCTTTTTTCGATGCAAGTCGAACTTCATTTCCTACTTTTCCTCGTCACACAACCAGACGTCAAAACAAAAACGGGGAAAAGTGGGCGAAAAACACTGTCGGTGACGAGGTTGAAAACGCATCTAAGTTGAAATGCCAAGATTAAATTTTCGTACCCACTTCGATTTGAATAAATATAACAAATGAAGTGGTGATAGCCTTGACTGTACCGTCGCAGTGCTCCTTCGAAAGGTCAGAAGCATCCGAACTCTCAAACGTGGTGATGTGGCTGCCAGTCTGCAAGTGCGCCTGTCATTTCATCCTTAGGTGTGTTAGTATCAGTGTCAATTTATGAATCTTTTCTTCATCTCTGCCTCTTGCGTATGCGTAATTTAAAGGCTTCGGCACCGCTCTTTTGTTAAGCAAAAAATGAGCACCAAAAAATAATAAATTCCATTCGTGTCACTATCGCATGAAATAGTAGTTTTCCGCCATTCACCTTCTGTAACTCACTTTTCTACTGCTGAATTCACCACAGAACAGAGCCGAGAAGAGGACTTCTTAAGTCCTATAGCACGACACCGTAGTTCACCATCTTTATTGCATATGGCACAGTGAGAAAAAAAATCAACCATAAGTCCTAATAAGAGCAGGAGATAGGAGTTCAGATATGGGGAGCTATCTATGCCAGGGAGGAAGAAGCATATTTATACAGCAGGCACAGTAGATGAAAAACAGGGAGAAGAAGGAAAGGACGGTGGAAAGCGACACGGTTGTGTAATCATCTTCTACAGCCCCAATTCCAGCCACAGCTCAGCAAGAGAAACATCATCTGGGCCTTGAAGGCGTTCTGTTCATCATTGACACTGGCTGTTTTGGATAGAAGGGCGCACTTCGCACCATGGAATAGCCACTGTTCGGCGAAGTAGCATCGCCAGAGGCTGTTGTACTGAGGAGAGGCTGGCTGGGGTTCTTCCAAGCGGTTGCGGGGGCAACATGCGAGTCTTGGATGACCTCATAGACGTCGGACGATGGTGGAGGTGATAGAGGAGGTAAGGGTGGTTCCGGATTGGCCGTCTTGTGAGCTGGAACCATAGGAGGCCGTGTGGTGATGCCGTGCTTAGTAGACGTGAAGATAGCAGACGAGGCATTTCGAGACACCATTGGTGTAGATGAAGGTGCCGCAATTTGACTCTCTAGTTTTCGAATGCGCGCGAGGTATTTGGATTTGGCCTTCTCAAAGGCTGTAATAAGAGCTGCATTTGCTTGCTTCAAATCGTTGACAAGCTCCTCACTCTGGGATTGGTGGTGCTCGGCACCTTTGCGAAGGGATTCGAATGCTGACTGCAGACTCTAAATGAAACATTATTCGTCATTCAGCGCATTCGCCTCGCAGCATCTTGAATGGAAAGCGAATTACAGCGTTTCTTGTTCCAGCATTTCAAATGAATAAAACAAGGCTTTCAAACAAGTTTACTGAGACTGAGGTGTACAAATGAGTACAAATGAGGTGTTGTACCAATCCTGCGAGAAGAGTTTCTGACTGGTGAAGACGGAGTCTCTTTAATCAGACTGCCGTGGATTTCTAGCACATTAACTCAATAAAATGCAGACTGGAAAGTATTAACCCAATCTATCGGAGGGCGGCTCACCTCTATTTGTTGTGTGAGAGGATTCTGGGCGCCAGTGCGATCTGATGTCTTGAGCATCTGGAGATTGCGATCTATTTGCAGGGCATTCAATTGTGAGCGTAGAGTGGACTCCGAAAGGCAGTGACGCTGATGGCTCAATTGAATTGCCCGTAATTCCTTCTCCATTATGTAATTATGCACCTTCAATTTCGCTCTGTCCTCCTTCACAGCGCATAAGTCCTGTTTGAGGAAAAGACAAGAAGTGTAGAAGACTGCTGCTAATTAAATACCCGTGACTTTATACGGAATCGTTTTTATTGTAATGGAATCAGTGCCTGGGGCTCCGCTAGACAGCATGTGCTCTGGTTCCTGCCTTTAGCCGCTCCGGCCTAATAGCATGGCTCCTTCAATTTTAGCAAGGACTCAGGGTGCTACTTCAGTTAGCGTCGATTGAAAGAACGATCTTTGTAGTTATCTCTCCTGGCTTCCACTTTTGTGTGCGAACCCTTAATATAGTAGTTGAAAGGTTTGTGTTTCAGCTGGGAGAATAGATGACAAAATTTAGTAGTCGTTTACCTTTGGCCACCGCCTTCGTTCCTTGTTGACACTAACTATGATCCACCTGGAAAAATGCACTATTAGGTTGTCACGATACCTTGGAGAGATATGATTATACAACTCCTAGGAGAGGACTAATTGGCAAGAATGGACGGGAGCAAAATCTTTCCTGTGAGTAACCATTGCTACATTCCCTGTTTTGTCATTTGATTCTGGGCTAAAGCAAGTGTTTGCTCAGTTGGCGATGGACCTGCATCTTTTCTCTTCCTCGGTGTCCTTTTCGAGCAGTGAGTCAAGATTCAGGAGAACTTCTAAGAGAACTCAGTGATGATGAATCCAAATATTCCCTCAGTTGCACGCAAACTTAGCTTCTAAAGCTGTTGATTCGTCAGTGAATTTCTTCGCAACGCCGACTCCGTTGTGGCGGATTTGAGGGCGGCCACCAATGGGAGCTCCGAGGTCGACGCTTGGAGCAATGCAATGTGTTGATTGTTTATTCCGGTTTCATAGGCATTTACGTCTCTACCTTTGTAGGTCGGTTGCGAAACCTGACCTTCGGCCATCTCTATGGGAAACGCTTGAAGGTAATTGAAGGAAAGGGGCTACTAACAGACGCCAAAATCATTTACCTTCCAAATTTTCTTTAGAAATTCACATTTACCGAGAATACATTGGGAAGGCGGAGGGGGTTAGCATCACTTCTTAGCGTTTATCTTATGTCAAGAGACTGTTTATTTGACAACGACGTAAACCTCCAGGTAACGTAAACACACCGCCTTTTACAGTCAACTTTCGTGCTCACCGCTCATGGCGTCGTATTTACTTGTCCTCCTTCCCTGACGCAAAAGCGTTTGACGTTTTTTTGGTTTTCTCGCAAAAAAGAACAATGCATCCTGGTGATAGTAATGTTTGCATTTACAGATAACAGCATCTAGTTAGAGCCACTTAAAGCATTTTATTTTACAAAAAAAGATATTGTAGGCTCTAATGAGAGTGGCGCTAGTGGGATGGAATGTGATATATGACATTGAAATCGGGAGGAAGGCATGCCAGATTAGGGGTTACACCTTAAAGATGCTAGATTTGAGTAAAAACGAATTGGTTGGTCTGCCTGATTGGTTTTAGACATCGATGAATTTTACTGACAAAATTGGGCGCCTTGAAAAATTAAAAAACACGATAAACCCTACTCACAGACAGTGGCTTTCAAGTGCCTTTACAATTTACTCAGGTGTGATCAAAAACCTCAGTTAAGCGCGGTCAATCTCCGATCTCACTTGAGAAGGGAGTGCGCTTAAGCGAGAAAATATGAATTCACCCGAAGGGAGGAAAAATAGACGCAAAGCATTCGACCGAATAGTAAATCAACCTTGTAAATCTTAAACTAATCAAAGAGACAGAGAGAGAAAAGGAGAAAGAAAACGTAAAAATTCTCGAATTCCTAGCGCACTCCTCCACATTTGAATACAGATGACGGCATGACACTCGTTGGCAGTACATAACGTCTTTAAAATATTTCTTTCATAAATTACATAGACTAATTTGTAAACAATTTTTCACTCATTTAAAATTGCTACACATTGGGCAGTGCGAAGAGAAAGATGTCTTTCAGTGGCAGTTGGTGGTCGGCACGATCATGACCGTGGCAACGTAGTGAATTTCTCGCTCTGATAAGGCAAGTTAGTTGTTTTTTATTGCTTCCTAAAATAACTACATTCACCAAAAAATGAGCAAACGGAGATGGGGCAATCGCCCCTCATAGATTGTAAGGCGTGTGGGTCGGAAATATTTCTATTTTGAATGTTATTGCAATTGCTTTACCGCATTTTCTAGCCCGCCTACGTGTAGTACTCTCCACCTAGCCACAGGAGAGGCGTTTGTAATACGACACCTCACACACATCATTTTGCCCGTGGTGGCCAAGTTCATGTCCTGGGTGGGGAAATGCTCTCATTCGTGGGGCTTTGATTTGAAAATTTTGTTCATTTGTTGGACCGGCGCCTGCTTAGCTAGAGGCTGCCTCATGTGAGCCAGACAGGCTGACAATCTCACTCGAGCTCAGTTCAGACACAACGACACCGATTGAAGTTTCTCGGTCTGTAGTGACTTATAAACGTGTTTAAAATTCATTTTAAGTCAAAATCATAAAATTTTCGGCAATAATTTGGCTAGACAAATAGAACCAACCACCAGTCATCATGCAAAAACTGGTAAATTTGTAAGGCTTTTCTTTTATGCTTCAGCTGGACAGCCGTACCAGTGCATCGGCACTATGGCACCTCCTACAACAATGATCTCTAATGTCTTAATTCGTCTGTAGAGGAGTCGTAGAGTGCTGCATTTTTGGAAGCAAAAAGATACCCGAGTCTATGGACAGCTACCCCGATTTTTGCCACTGTTACCAAGACGAAGAAGGGCATAACGTGAGCGCGGAAAAATTAAGTGGCGATTTGGAACAGGAAGATTGAATCTAATGTCCACCTTTAACAACTACCTCAACCTCTCTCTTTGTAGGAATGTACTAACTACCTAAGGAACAGTGGCTGCGTAGCTGTCTACAACGCATTTGCCACTTATTTAAGCTCCGCCCTCTACTGAATGACTGTTTTGAGGCAGTTTTCCTTCGGACGATGTTCAAGATGGCAAACACACCTCCTCTTCCTCGACACACACTCACGAATTATTCTAAAGAAAAGATTCAGTAGAATCAACAAGACGCCGCAATGATGTTGAGGTCAAGTATAACCCCAGCTGTATGCAAATCCGATTACTGGCACTGTCGGTTTATAAGTGGTTAACCTTACAGCCCCAACTACACTTTGATGGCTGATGTGGAGATGTAACCAAGGCAGGTGTTGAAGAGGCTCCCGCAGAAAAGATGCTTTTGGGATAGATGGCAATTAAATCTGTTTTTAACGCTTTGAATTTCGCTCAGCATGAATTTTCCACAAGCGCAACATTTGAACCATTCCAGCAGGTCCTCAATTCTGAGTCTATCATCAAAGCATATTCCATCATAGTCCATCATGTCTACTTTCGAATTCAAAGAAGTTTCTGAGTTCTACCTAGAGTAACTTGGAGTTCATAAAGATAATATTCAACACTTAATTAAGTGAACATATGGAGTTAGTAAAACTAAGTAATGTAGCAATCTTGTAAGATGAGCATTTTGACATGTAATGGTTCCCATCATCCATGTGATTAGAGAACGTTGAACATCTTTTTCACTCCAACTGTTGGATGTGAAGCAATCAAGTGTATTCTTACGAGTCAGGGACGTATAAATGAGGGGTCAGTCAAACAATACCCAAACGGCGATCTTCTAGCCAATGTGGAATTCAAACCTTTCTCAAAGGTACAAACTCTTGTCATGCAAACTTCTCTCCGGCCACTAATTATATGCTTAGAAAGACAAGATCTTGCATAAGGGAAAAACTCGCGTAGTGGTTTAAACAGAACTGCTTTTATCGGACTATTTCGAGACTAATTTCCTACCAAGACAGACAACAATCAGCGAACGCATACCTGCAACAAGGCTGCCGTGTCCACCATGAAGAGGGCGTTGAGTCGGTTTGAAATCGGAGGACCTCTCGATTCCTGTGCTGTCATACTCATGGGTCCGCCTTCACTGTAACCAGGTAACTGAAATGTAAGAAGGTAGACGGCATACTATGTTGGCACTAAGTGATAGAATGTTGTAAATATTTTTGTCTCTTCTCTCACAGAGAAAACGATTGGATCATTATTAAACAACAAAATTTTATACGTTCCTTGGCAATTAATTTTCTCGTTTTATGGGGCAAATAAGAGTGCCTTAAAATGCACAATGCTGTGGTGTTTCGTCTTCCTCCGAATATCCCAATCATCTGAGTTTTTATGCACTCCACGACATTAAACGCTCAGGTATACGCATATATGCACACATCCAGAGAGCCCTGAGGCATTTGGATCGTGCTGACCTTTAGAGACGAAGACGACCCGCGCCCGTGTGAGAGCCCGTCGTGACTCACTGGGGTTTGGTGAACACATGCACGCAAATGCGATTTGGAAAAGTGTGTTTGGAAGGGTTGGTGGTGGGCGCATCTGCGTGTACGTGCGTATGTGCGGGTAGATGGCGGTGGTGGATAGTCAGGCAGGTGGATGAAGATGGCTAGGTGAAGAGGTGTCCCTGAACAAGGTTATCAAAATCTACACCATGCATCCAAATTGCTGTCCACGCCTCCAAACATGTGAATTATGCATAGTTGTGTTCGGCCAAAACCAAATGCCAGGGGCAATTTTGTGACTCTTGTGCCATAATTTGACTACTTAGACACAACGCCAACTTGATTATTGTAAAGGGTAACTCAGGGGCTGGAATCCGAAGTACATACGACACATCCCAATTGTTCGAAATTCTCGTATCACTCACAGCTCAGCATTTGATCACCGAAAAGCGCGGATGTCACAGAAGTTTTTTTACAAGCAAGAGAAATGAATGCGCTCGTTGCAGTACATACGTTCCGATTAGATTTGGTAAGGGAATGCTATAAGGCAACTTTGTCATTCATAAAATGCATACCGTAACATTTGGCATCACGAAATATAGCTTGTCTCTTCGTAAAAAAGAAAATAAACGGGAGTGTAATAATTTCCACTGACCTCCAAAACATGCAAACATCGGAAGGTCTCTATTTATTTCTGCCATCTCCAACTAACAATACTGATCCAACGGATTAAAAGTGGAGATAAAAGGATGCTTCAAAACAAGCTTAAAGCATGGCGATGGAAAAAACGGGTGACGATGTCAAAATTTTCAGCTTAACAATCTTGATATCCTCTGCTCTTTGTTCACATATATGAGGGCTTGATTAAATTCCCTTTCACGGTTTTCTAACATCCCTCTTGAAAGCAGAAAAGTTGATTTGCTTACTCCACTTTTAACTTCCACCTAAATATGCAATTTCAACACGCGACTGACATCCACCTTCCAAAAACACTCTGAGCACCCTTCGAGAACCAGTGGTTCCCCAAGACTTCGCAAGACTCGGACAGACTGTGCAGTGGCGACTGCTGGCACGGCCTAGAGGAAAGGCCATGTGACGGAGGCACAGTGGTGGGGCTCCTAAGTAGTTCATCAAAATCTAGAGCTAAACAAAGAATTGAGTTATTACACTACAACCTGACATTTCATGCCTCCTAATCGGTGCTGTGCGAATTCGGTGTGACAGAATTTAACGATGCTTTGGTTTTAGGTTAAAAAAAGTATGTAGGAAAAATCAACTATATTTGGTAAGTAAAGTTGCTGTCCATGACTAAAAAAATATACGTAAGAGCTGCCAATATTTTGCCTCAGCGTTTATTTTAAGTGGGCTTAACTATACAGAAACATCGATCTAGGAAGGTTGTACCACCGCTTCAAGGCATGGCCATCGGGTCGGCCTAACACCCATGTGTCGAGGCTTCGAGTTTCCCCATATCACCTTGTGCTATCGTGAACTAGGTGGACAGGGACTGATTTGGAGCAAACTCAATGTCTTTACACGTCCATTTGTGTGTAACCTTGGGGTAAAACGACTTCTTGATGTAAGAGCGCATCGTATTACAGAGCTTGTGGTAAGGGGTTAAAGGAGTAGTCAGAATGAGCAATGCGTTTGGGATTGCAGGACATATAGTGGCCAGAAATGGAACAAGACTGGTGAGAAAGTCAAGTACCCAGACAAAAAGGGCCTGAAGATCCGGCGATACGCTAACATCAGACAACAAAAGCGGTTTCATGCAACCTGGCGGCCCTCTCTTGGTGTTTGACATTCATGCTAATGACTGTAGGCTGAGCGAGCAAATAGATTAGGCCATTTTACTGACGGAATTACAATTGTCATTTACTCACACTTTAAAGCAAATTGAAAAGACCTTTTTTAGAGGACAAAAGACAAAATTTTCTGGCTAATTAGCTGTGACGAATAACGTCAATGTTGTCAATCAATTGTTCCGCTCAAACAATGAAAAGTGAGTCTGAACCGACGATTTCAAAGCCTAAACTTCAGTCTCCGAGTTTTCTCGAAACACTTGTCTGGCATTACTGTAATGTCAATACAGAAGGTCGATGTATATACTAAGGCGCCACGATGGCGAATCCAAAACTACTATATTGCAATTTAAATCCGTCCAAAGATCCTATCGTGACAACCCCCGCCTTATTGCTCACTAAAACGATGCAAGGCATTGGTTTCCAACTTTGTGTCGTCAATCAAGTTTACAATGAGGACACGTGAGTATAGATTGGAAAATCACGTGAGACTGTCAGTAAAGCAGCATCTTCAGTGACGATTTTTGAGAGGAAGGAACGGCTATACTGTTTTATTTTTGAAACAGGTTCACCTGGAACAATTCAATGTCGGATTTGAAGCACCTTTGACACTGGTTGAAATAGGCGTGTAGGACAATCAGTGATAAGACAGATTCAAAGATTCAAAGGCAATTTCATTTTAATGCATTAGAAGAATTGTGTTAAAACTGTAAAAGTTGACAAAGGCTAACGTCATTCGCTTGAACTTGGCGGTGCGACAAAGAGACATATGAAGTTCCAGAAACACACTCTGGCTAACAAAGGATTGGGTTTCTTGAACAGAGATTAGCAATGATGCAGCTGAATTAACCTTTTATTCGAGCAGAAGACATTGCAATGGGAATGTAATCTATTCTTAAGTATTGCGACCAACTCTGTAGGCAGTTTAAACAGTTCAAAGTCACTCAGCCGACTTGAATTCGCCAGACACGAAATGATGTTGGTGGAGATTTCCGAGACACCAAAATACACAACCCTTGATGTCGTAGTAAATTAGAGCTGGTCTAGAACATGGTAGAGGTATTATGAGATCTGGTTTTGACACAATTTTAATGTGTCAGAAAAGGAAATATCTGTAGTTGCATCCACCTTCGGTGACATGGATTTGGTAACAACATTAAGGTTAGCAAAAACGCAGCTATTCATTATTGTTAAGGATTTAAATGCTGTGAACTACTTTAATTCTTCAAATAAAAATGAGATCTATCAGATTGAGAAGTTAAGAATCAAACTTACTTCACTTCCATTATAGGGTTTCATGTAGTGGAATTCCCCATTTCGTGGAACACCTGAACAACCAGCTTCAAAGTCGACGCCAACAGCGATGGTGCTCCTCACTAACATTCGTTCCCAAATAATCTGATCCAAAATATGGCGCAGCTTCATCTCCTTCATGCGAGTCCATCCACCAACGTCATGGAGCATGGCAGGAGCTTCAGGAATCCCTGCTCCTACAACTGGATTGACGACTACAGCACCGGCAGCGGCAGAAGAGGAAGAAGAGTTAGAGGAATGAGAGGCGCAGGTGTGTGTGTTTGGAACACCAGATACAACTACAAGACCTGCAGCAACGTTGGCAGCTGCAGTGCTGACGGCGTGATCATTGGTGCTGAAACTGTCTGCACCTGAGTCGGGTGTCTGCCAGCCTCCGTCGCCCCCACCAGCAGACTTGATTGGATGGCGTGCGGGGGCAACAGGTCTGGCAGCTATGCACCAAGCGTTCGCGTACACTCCATGAACTCCCATACCTGAGCTACTGCCTCCAGACTCAGCACCAAGTCCGCTTTCTGTTCCCGTAGCAGTGCTACGATTGCCATTAGTGGTGCTGTGATCAAAGTCTTCTGCGACTGTGGGAATGAGACTTTCAGGCTTTAGGAAGGGCTCCAGTGTGGATGCCAATCGACCAAGCAGATGCAGAGCTGCCATCTCGGTTTGGTGCCTGCAATTGCCGATCATTGAAGCTTAGATTAGATAACGGGGATTTTAACTAAAGCACTTTCACATGGGATCATTTGCCAACTTTCCACCGACGACATCAATTAATTTCTGCTCATACCTTATGCTGGTTTCTCTCCTGTCTTTACAAGGACAAACTTCAATTTCACACTGTGTCATTTGTCTTACACAAAAGCTGTTATTCATCACATCACTTTTGGTTGGGCAACTCTGCAACAAACCTAATGACGTGAATTAATAGCCTCTAAATGTCAAAAGTAACGTCGGTTTGACTGTGCACTTGTCTGCCATAATACGTGCATTTGACATTTTGACGGTGTTAAAAGAAAACACCATTAATAATTGCGTAGTAGGAATAGAGTTTGTGTTTCAGGAAAGCGTGGTAACTCTGGTCAAAGGGACCTCGGACACCTACGCTGCAGCGCAATTTTGCGTGGTTGGTAGGTCAAGCATTAAATACACATTCAAGCCTCCCCAGCCTCCTCCTCCTCCTCCCTCAAAATCATACGCACATAAAATGAGGTAAAACGAGTGGATTCGAGAAGTTGCTCTTGTACCTCCGTTCCCCAATTTATTGTGTTGGCATGGCAACTACCGATTTTGATCTTCAAGTCATAGCCAAGAAGAAAAAGCCTTTACAAAACACTGCTCTATCAGTCATCGTAAAGAGCTTGATCATGCACCCTGTCAGTGAATCTTATGTTCTCCAATCATTGTTCCTCCTTTCCTGATATCACTGACACTTGTAAACACAAAAAACGTGTCACATCAGGATCACAACGATGAGAGAGTTAGTGTAACCCAACGCCTGTTGAAAATGCCACGGACACCAATGACGCAGGCTTTTGCGTAAACGGATGTGCTTCTCGAGGTGTACTTGTGTGTGTGTGTGTATGTGTATGTGTACTTGCCCAAAAAGCAGGAACTTATGGAAAAAAGCCTCATTAAGTGCCCCTACTGTGAGTCATTGGTCAGAGGTCTAAAGGGGGATGGGGTTGGCTTTACCACGTCGCCGACAGGAACATTAGAAGGTTTCTTCCCATGTGAATTCTAGAATGCGCCACTGGACCACCATCGATGTGATGCTGTGAAAACTCCATAATACTGCATTGAGATGTTTTTAAATCCTAACCTCAATACTTGTACTTAGATATTATTTCGCTTCTACAAAAAATACTTGATTTTGCTGCCTTTGGAAGTTAGGCCGTACCTCTGCATTTTGAGGAGTCGCAGACATGCAGGTCCATTGCACATAGCATGAGGTGGTATCCAGGTTGGCACAGAAAAGTGAGAAGCCTCGTCAGAGGATTTCCCATTAACTGCATAGAGAGCATAGACGTTGCCTCCGTTGTCACTAGTGGCAGCGGGTGGTTGGATCTGCCTACAGGTGCCGTTTAGCCCCGAGACAACATGGTGGTAAGTAACCGGTGCCACAGAGACACTTGGAGCTTTGCAGGATCGTTGAGGTTCTTCCTCTTCGGAAGATGAACAGGATGATGATGAGGAGGAAGTTGACGTGGAACTACTGGTGAAGGCGGATCCGGACAGTGAATGGCATCCAAATGACCGCTCGCGATGGGATTTTCCAGATTTTGATCGCCCTTCACCGTGTGGTTGTTTATGTAGCAACAGAGCCAATTCCGAGGAGTACAGCTAGCATAATAAGCTATGTTTAAGGACCCAACAATTATGGGAATTCAAATTCGACGAATTTTTTTGAGATAAAATAATATCTGTGATTTGTTGGATTATATGCCAACAGTGCTTTTTAGAATAATGGAAAAAATTTCACTGGCATGCAAATTAGTGGACTCAGCCTTATCGAGTTTGCAAACGCACCCATATCATTGTTTTGAAAGCTTGCTTCAAGCAGTAACATTTTTCACTAATGATGGTATATTAGGAAGTTCTAATGTTTAAGCCGAAGTACTCATTCAATTTCGTTCAGCTTTAAATGGGTATGCGGTAATGCCCAGCCCAGCCATTTTTAGAAAAACAAATATTGCGATTGTAACCACACCACACTCTTTGGAAGGCAACGAATGAAAGAGAAACGACAGTTTAAGGGAGATGAGGAGGACCTACGTGCACAAGTACACCACTCGTCTCAAGAGCCATGTCAGCTAGTTCAGCAGCTCGGTTAGCAGCACCCCAAGAGGCCTCTATTTGTCCTAGTCGACAGTAAAGCTGATCACCAGCAGCCTTCGCTTCAGCCAAGGAGGCCTCAAGGACAGTAAGCTCAGCATCCTGTCGAGCGCAGAGTGCATCACGCTGCTCACAGGCTAGAAGAGCGCACCGTGCAACATCCACGAGCCTCGGGTAAGGCGCTACGCCTGCGATACCGTTTAAGAGCATCTGGGCTACCCCTACAGAGGGAGAAAGTCCTCCACCTCCAACTCCACCCCCACCTGTGCCAGTGGCTCCTAAGCAACAGTTTACGCAGTAGCGCACCCATTGAGGCTCAGTCTCATCCCCTCCTGTTCCCCCAGTGGTTGCTGCAGCCGTTTCACTGGCACTGTTGTTGTCCCCGCTGCGGCAGCTTTGCGGGACTGAGGAAGTGCTTCCTGACAATGCCGACGAATGTGGCTAAAAGAGGGAGTAACGCAAAACACTAAACCCTTAGCCTTAATGTAAATGTCCTCCACTATCTACTAAAGCTTAGGGCTTCACGTTTCCCGAAAATGAAAAAGTACCCATCAACAAGACCTCCACCAGCATACTTTTTAATTTCTCACCAATAGTAAGCAACTTTAAAGGTTTGTACAGATGTAAAATATTTTTTTCTATGGAAAGAACTTGTGCCTCGTGACATTCGTTGTTGATGGATGAGTATCTACTACATATGGAATTTACAAGTTCGATTCACCACCTTTCCACCCATTAAACTTTACCATAAGGTTTTGATTCAATCGCAGCAAAGGGTAGGGCAAAATCTTGACTGTATGTGGTGATAAGCTAAACTAGTGGCTAAGTTAGAGTAATACAAGGTCTAATGTACATTTGTTGTGTCCCGATCACAGTATTATAAGACCAGATGAGCCACAAACTTGTTGATAATTGCCCAACTAGTCTATTTCTTCAAAAGGAATTCATGAGAGAATTCATCACTGCACCATAGCTAAGGTAATTTTGTTTGCACACCTGCTGCGCTTCCACCAACGCCACTGCTGCCATCACCACGTGAATGCACCCACCCTTGACAGAGGCGCCCAACGCACTTGTGCACGGACTCGGATCTGGCCGCTATCAGGGTCGAAGACGGGCAACACTGACGCACAGAAGGATGTGGCAGTACGGCGGGGTGGGGAAGGGGACGGGGGGGAGGCACTTGGAGTAGTGCTGCTTTCCGCATTAAAGTTACCGTTTTTGCCATATCATAGCCTAAGTGTAGCATACATTTCGCCTACACAATGGCATACACTCTCCAAAATCACTACGAAAGAGAAGTGAAACTACAAAATATGCACAGATTTTCAAAATATTTTACAACTACTTGTGGATAAAAAACGAATAAAGTGAAACGCGCGATCAGGCTAACACTCAACTTTCAAAAAGTTTCCTTCGGATGAAAAAATGGGCACTACGCCAACTTAAATATAAAAATGTAATAGCACATGGATGTAAAAATATTTTATAAATTCTTCAATCGCAATTAATAGCACTTATACCACTTCTGCTTGAAAAATATGATGGGTAATGTCAGCAATGGATTGGACAGTCCTCCAGTCTTGTGCATAAACGCCTTGAATAACCAAAATGACTGTCACCTGCAAGCCCAAGCGATGACAAGCAAGGTGGAGACGTGAACAGACGTGGCAAGGCGGTGGTCTTTTTGTGAAAAGACCGATTTAGAGACCATTTAAATTTTAAGCTGGAGTAGAATAAATGTGCAGGGCACAATTTTGTGCAAAATTACATCGTGAGACGAAGCAGCTGCTGCAACTTTAATCGCCCTCGAGAGAGGGAGAAAGGAAAAAACGCAGTGTATTTTTTTCGCTTTCCGGTCGAATTTAAACGCAGTCCTTGGGGAGGGAGAGCTTATGCAAAATATGGTTTTGTTAATTTTATTCCCATAGCGCCTCATCAATCAAATTCACGCCGATTCAACGCTTGAATTAACATCTTTTGGTGTTTTTATTTTACCAAATGGAACACATTATGCATATTTTGGATTCTTAAACAAAGCGCAATTAAGAACACACGGCTAGAGCTGAAAGTGGCAATCATTCATTTGAGGTAGGTGGGTGGCGGCGTCCTTCCTTACCACGACCTCGTTCCCTAACTGCTTTAGCAGTAATCGTGGTTGAGGAATTAGTGGATGAGAAGCAAAACAGTACAGTGGACAGTCGGGAATTAGATATTAACAGTGAGCATTTGACTTAACCGCTGAACAATTTGACTTTGTAGTTGCGTATTGCATAAGGAAAACACCGCCGACTTGCTAACGTCAGGCGTAGTAGCGATGAGAATTCTGTCGTGCTAATACTTTCCTTTTGCTTGCAATAAAGGCTCGAGGATCTACGCTAGCTTGCAAGGCACTTCGACGACATGGGGTAGGGATAGAAGCAATTATAGGAATGATTTGCCATTTATTTTACAAGCTGGAGACCTTCATGTGACACTTAACCAGTTAAGTGCCCTAGCCCTTAGCGCTCGTATTTGTCCAGTCTTATTTGGGGCATAACAAACGCACATTGAACGAGTACGAGTAGCTCGTGTTTAGATAAAATCACCAGGAGGAAACAAAATTGAAGCGCGTAGTGCATTAAACACTCAAATGTTTGGATCGAGAGGACTCATTATTGACGCTAGAAGCTCGAGAAATGTGAATCATTAACGCAAGCAGGATTTTCTTAGTAATCATTTAAAAGGAGAAATGAGTTGGGACCTTTGAATGAATGCCATTCCAGTAATCCTGACTAGCGAAAACAAAGCGAACCCCATGTCAATATGATCATCAAGGTCACAGTAAATGAGGTGTATCCCGTGGAGGCTGATGAGTGCGATTGGTTAACACCTTCCACTGTTCTAGCACCACTCCCCTATCGCTGCCTCGAGTGTTGGAGGGTTGATTTGATGGTCGGCTGGGGGGAGAAAGAAGAGGGGCGCTGGGATGGTGCGCCTTGATTTATGCATTTCTGGGGTAACAGGTTTATGCCTGAGTGTGTGTGTTGCCATCAGAGGTGCAGGAACCTGATTGCAAGTAATCAAGAGACTACGTGGCTAGCTGGTAAATGTCAGTGACTCACTAGTGTGCCATCTTCGTCACTATTGATTGCACATCCAAATACAATCCGATTCAAACTTCTGATTTCCCTCCATAAATTACTGTTCTACTTCCATGCATACGTTTAACACCGCATCCATGTGATCAGGTGAAGTAATTATGATCTGAGGGAGAATGAACTTATGTTCACTTTATTCCACTTTCATACATCTGAGTAGACGCATCAATAATGCATCAGTATTGTGGTCATCGCCTTTTTGGCTTTGTATCGCTGCTACTACTGTCGGCACTGCCGTCGTTTCTGTTGCTATCATTCTCAACACCACAACTACAATTAATTATGTCCACGCCAACCCCATCAGGTGTACGCCTCTGAGCAACAAATGTCCGCATTGTTTAAGTGTCCCCCGCTCCTATAAATCCACTGAGCTCACACACGCAAGTGCACACACGTTCGCTTATTGGTGAGGTAAAATATATCCGCCCCGCCTGCATGCATAATTGTGATTATTTCTTGTGACTCGTCTCTTGCACGCTAATTATTATTAATCTAATCCATTGACTTGATGGTGCGAACGTCTGATAAAGAGTTTCTTTCTTCCGCAAAAACTGTGTCAATTCATGGCTTTTGCTTTTCTCCTTCGTCGCCCTCACTCCCCCCCTCCCCACTCCTCCCCATTCCACCCTATCTCGCCTTATCCCACCCTCGCTCTTTGCGAGGCGGGTTGCTGAACAGGACAGCCGGGAGGAGGAGAAAAGGGGAAGGGAGAGGAGAAACTAGGAGCCATTTTTATTTTCAATGAATGCATTAGCTGTTTCAGTGTTTTGTGGTTTTACTGGCGCCGGTTTGACGGTATCACGCAAACCGGACGAAGCTTTTCATGGCTTTTTTGTTTTGAATTTTTCAGGACAAATGCAAACGCATGCTTTGACAAGAAGTTTGAAGAGATGCTGACTTCCTGACCTCGTGTACAACCTCACAAAGGTTGAAAGCAATTTCGTTTTAGATTCACTTCTTCAAAAGTAAAAAAAGGCTTAGAGGACCCTTCACCTACTCTCTTATCCCCTCTTCCTCCTCCTGCATTTGATAGATCCAAGAAACTTTAATTGTATTAAAAGCTTTCCAAATAGCTCAACATCAAAATAACTTATGGGAATATTTTTCTCATATAGAAGTAGCGATTGGGAACATGATTGCGAATCTGATAGAAAGAGGTAGAAGTCAAATATAACGAATGAGAAGGTGCGAAGATAGTTTCAGCAAATTCAGTGTTTCGCCGACCAGAGCTGGTACGTCACTGACAAATTGACTCCTCGTCTTCCGCACAAATGAGGCGTGCTTGTGCCGTTTTATGACAATCGGTTTCACTTAACAGACTGATGAAACGCAAAGCGGCAGAAGAAATGGAAACTACTTAGACCTTTTCTTTTGGGTGGTCGAACACCAAACATACTTGCACAGCTAAGTAAATTTTATTCAATGAAAGCTCTCCTTTGTAAGCAAGCATTCAAATACGTCTTTGGAGTTCTGATAAACAATTTTATAGCTCAATGAGTTGTCTGGTAACGTTGGCTTAAAATGAACCACGGAAGCGTGCGAACAATCTCGAGGTCCCTTGAGAGCCTTTATGCATTTTTTGCATCACCTAAGGAAAGAAGTCCTCGTTTCTGCTCTGTGATAGTTTTGCCGCTAACCTCAAAAATATCTTCCATACATTGAGACTGAGTCCTCCTTGCTATTCTCTCCACTTCTCTAACATTGGGTCAGCAGAAACAGTGCCTTTGTTAAAGATAAATGAATGACCCATTTAACTTATTAGAGTAGCATTATGGATGATTTGACTCTCCGTTATGCTTTCACTAAAAATTAAATTCCACATTTGCACTTTCGCCTTAACCTTCCCGAACCCCAGCAATACATGTCCACTCCGGTGCTAGAATACCCTTCCGTGTGGGGGAAAGGTTAAGACGCCACCTTGATGGTAGTCGAAAGCGAGACTGATTTGATAATGACAACTGACTTGCTTTTCATTTTTGAATGCCAAGACCTAACACGATGGAGGAAGAGTATATGCTGTGGTTAGAAAATCTGCAACGAACTCAAACGGAATACCTGGAAACGACGTTGAAATCTTGAATCGTCCTCTATGCCGTATTGTGGAGCTGTCTACGGAGCCCGTGTGGGGATAACAACTGTGAACACTTAATACCTTCACCACCACGTCCCTATGAGCTGGACAATATGTAGGTATATGTGAGTGGGCAGCTCCAAAGTGAACAAAATGTGTAAGAAAAATTAATGTGAGCTTCCATCCCCATTAAATCGTGTTTACTGGCAATCTTTAGTGAGTAACTTTGCCGTTGACTGAGAATACCTACGATCAGCAACAAGCGTAGACAAGTTTTAGCACCTTTTCCCATCCCCGATACAGTTCCCGAGCAGAGTGGAGGTTGATGTTTAGGAAAATTTCCAGAGATACCAGTGATCTTGAAATCACACATGTTGTTCCAGTTGCACGCTAATTAAGTCAATAGCCGGATTGGATCCTAAGTGTTTTCATTACCCAACCACATTCTCCCAAAAGGGATCAGGAGGGTCAGGTAATGTCCTGACGATTCGTTTAACTCTTCATTTTGTTAATGACTGCCAAGTCTGCATTTGTACGCATAATAGGCGGTATGATTAGCCGTCCTTCATTTCGGAAGTGAATTTTCTTATCTGATGTTGCATCTCCTTTTGTATTTTGGAACGACTTGAACGAGCTGCTATACATTAATAGGAACTAAGTGTAAATGAATGAGAAATTTGAGCTTTATGTTTCTTTAACTAACCTATAGGAGCAATTTTTGTGAAATGAAAATATGTATGTTATCCAATATGGCAAAAATACGCTGATTAACTGACGCCAACGGGCACATTAGCAGCAAACTTCGTATGGCTGCTATGTGAAGCGTCACCAAAGGAGTATCAAAACTACTGGGCTAACCTAGCATGGTAGCAAATACAAAGTCTGACGGGATAAATTATTTAAATGAAATGTCAACCAACCTGGCTCACACGGTCATCGCAGGTGGAAGAAGCTTTTAACAGTCTCTCTGTCTGTTCCACAGCGTCAAAGCTTAGTGAGAACTCCGAATTCGGTTGCGAAAGTTGGGGGCTCTGAGTGCTGTTCCTTCGGAGTCGGTTGTCACCGCTACCAACGCCACCAGAGGACTGAGAGAGTTGAGCCTGCGAGAGGATGCGCGGTTTTCGTGTTTGATTGTGCTGTCTTAGCCCCATCACTGGCTTGCCTTGAGTTCTCACCTCAGTGAGAATACTTGAAGCGGAGGTAGCGGGACTTGCCATGTCAGGATGGCGTGCTGTGGCCGCTGTATCCGATTGGGCCGAACTCACAGTACGCACGGAACCTGCCATCCATGGTTCATGTGTCATCGTCTGTCGAGTCTTTTAGGAAAAGGTGCAAGAGTGAACCAAAGTCGCAAGACAGAAGCGCTTAAAAATTCAGACTTTTAATAAGTTTTCCCCACTAAAATAATAGCGACCAAACACACCAGCGTCCTAGTAGTATCACTGACGCGAGGGAGTAGTCGAGTATGAATACCTAAAAAGAGCATCACTTTCCCATCACGTATCCATTCCAAGCAATCAGCAAGGGAAGAAGGCAAACCCACTTCACAGAGCCAGGGAGAAGGTTGGAGCTAATTTAATCAGGCTTAGAATCTACCACTCCACTCATTCTCCAGCCAAAGCTATTAGTCATAACGAGTGCGACCTTCTCATCAACAAAAACAGACGTAGAAGAGATGCAAATACAGAGTTATAAAACGGGTATAAGAAAGCTATGGGATGACAGAAGACGCCAATACCAATGCTGCCGCAACAGATGACTATTTGCCCCTGCGGATTACTGTGATCTCTAAAGGACCGCTGACTCATCACAACAGCAACAACAACAGCACGGGGCACCACTGCCGACGTCGCGAAGAGGTGAGCGGGACGGGGGAGGGAGGAAAGGAGATAGAGAGATGGTGCGGAGCTCGTGATTCAAGGAGCCGCGTCATTGCACATGCTTTCTAGGCGTGTTTGAAACGTCTGTGCGTGCAGCCATGACTCTGACGTGTCGCTCGTTCTCTCTATTTATCATCCGTTGTAGCGTTTTGTTTACAGCGGAAGTGAGTGCCATTATCGACAGGACAAGCGCGGTGCCTTCAGGCAACATCGACGCTCACCCACACGAATGGTGTGCGCCATTTGGCTTGACAATGGCACACTTTTCACTTCAACCAGTCAATTGGTTGCATTCAATACTTCAACACTCCATTTCATTCCTCCAAGGAAATACTGCGATAGATATTTGCAGAAGGGCTGCTTGAGAAAGGAGGATAGTGAGGTAGTGGAAGGGCGGTGGAACGGACAGGAAGTTGATACCGGGACGAAAAGGCGGCTTACGTGGGCACGTGTGTGTGTGGTGTGAGTCAGCGGGGCTGAAATAAACGGGGAGGGAGGACGGTTAAGGGAGCAAGAGGGATGGAGAGCGCGAGTGCGGTCAAAAATGGAATAACAGTGACTAAGTTTTTTTACCGTCTGGAAAAATAAAATTCACAAAAAAATGATGCTCGAAATCGGTCTAATTTTTGGCGTGAATGGGCTAAACCTCACAATACAGCCCTGCCAAGTCTCCTCTTCCAAATTAGCCAACCGGACGAAGATAATTAAGCGCGGTCGACTATGAAGGTTGACTGGAAGGTTTAAAGTGGCTCGAGAAATGAACAGTTACGAAATTGGAGTTTACACAATTCCGCTCCACTGATGCGAAATTACTATCTTGTAATTTGTATGATAATGACGCCCTTTGGATAGTAGAGCCACTGTCGGAAAGTGGAACTGTCTTCGGCCAATAATTGTTTGGTTGTCTGTCTGCAGCCCTGAGACAATGCCTCAACAGTATGTAGCACAGCGGCAACGTGATACTCCTAAAAGCGCACTCTGACTCATCCACTGAGGAAGCAATAAGTTTGGTCACGATGACTGTTTCATTCCATTGTCAGGTTATGACAACCTGCTTCATAAAATGCATGCGCAAACATGCCATATCTGTCCTAACGTTGAGCTATTTTTGGTCTCGGAGAGTAAATTAATCCTTCTGTCCAGCCTCATCGAGTACGACAAACGGGGAGGAGGGATGTTGTTGTCCGGTTCAGCTATGCGGTCTCAGCATATAGATTGGTTTGCCAAGGACTGGTGCTATTTGTTCTTGTCACTGTATTTGCCTGCTGAGACAGGTGAGCTGAATGTCAAAGTTCGGTAATTTTTAAAGTAAAATATTTCGATGCAAATTTACGCACACTTATTCAATTTCATGCGAAAAGATGGATGCGATAGAGTCAGTCCCAATTCCTCCAAGAAAAACAAGGGAAAAACAAGTGTTGTCTGCACTGAATTTACTCGAGTCGCTCATCTTTGCCGATTGTTGACACTTGAGGTGTCCTGAGGGATAGGGCACATTTTGGTACAAATCAGACAAAATTAAAGTGATTCAGCTTTTGTCTGGCCAAGACCCTCGTACACACATACACCGTTAATAAATGCACATCATAAACTCTTTGTCCCTTGAGCCAAGATGTCCGTGCCAAATGCACAGACTCCTAACATTAATGATTGCGCTTGACAAGTCATAAGTGATCCAGGACAATTGGAATTGACTGTCCGTCATGCTAAACTTGGCATGGGAAAACTTGGGGCAAATACGCCAGTCGAATGCAAGATCAGGTCCACAAACAAAATCCAAATTCGTAAAGAACCGATTTACAGACAGATCCAAACAAGTGCGTGGAAGCAACAGCTACTCCGACACAGCTTATTAAAAGTTTACTTTGTAAAGAGTGAATGTTTGGCTGGAATTAAGGGAATGCATATCGAGGAAGTAAGGCACATGTGTCTGCTTCTATCGGCAGGATGGAAAGAGAGGTAGCAAGGAGAAGTGAAAAAGCTGCAGAAATCCCTGACATGCGCTCCAAAAAATGTTATCTTACTGTGAATATAAAAAGTGTCGGGCTTTCAATGAAGCGCGAAGTGACAGGAGATGGTGCCCTAATCAGAAATGCCTTCCATTAGTCCGCACTCGTTAATATGCGTGCAGTGGATGGAATGACACGTATAAAATAGACCTTCGAGCCAATAATGCGGGAATTTCGACTTACTTCAGACAAATGCATTCTCAAATCTGGGAATTCATACTGCCCTTAAAATTAAAGACCAAAGACTAAAAGACACAAAAGACTCCTCCATAAGGCGCAACAATTCTTCTGAGAAAGGTTCTTTGCTGAACTCCAACCATCGCAACAATCAAGGCTTATAAAATTTGCCTTAATCAATGAAGCATTTCTGGCAAACGGAGGGCTTGTCAGATCATCTGGACTGCTCGCATCCATATCGTGCCTGTTTCAATCCACCGATCCGCCCTTTGCGCGAAGTCAGACAATTGTAAGAGCCCCCAAAAGGAGTATTAATAAAGGCATCGGCGAAGCATTAGAACCGCTTTGGTCAAAAAATTTCCACAGTCATAAAACACACACACACATACGCACAAGTACATCCATGCTTGCGCGGCTAAGTTTTTACTGTCCTGTTGAAGCCGCCTTGAATACCTGCTTCTCGTGCTAGACTGAACCTGTCTGCTTCGGAATTCCAAAGATTAATGCCACAGACGATGAGAACATCACCACACACACAAACACATCCTTGCACAGTCATTTTGTACGAGAGGCAGTAAAACCTTTTCATCATGCCCTAATAAATCTTTCCAAACAAATTTTCATGTTCGACCTTTCAATGTCATTAATTTCAGTCAATAATGTTGGGCAAATGATTGGAAGTTAAACACATTTTGCATTTCTCTGTGGTTTTTTTATTTTTCAAGTCATGTGTACACGAAGTGCTTTTTAATGCTACTTCTATGCATTAATCTCATTGCACCTCCTTTTGATGAGTTGTTAGGTGAACAAAATTTCTTGAGTACAAGCCCTCGGCAATGCATGGCAATGACAAAGGTGAATTGTAGTGGTCTCAAGACAAGCAGAAATGTACGATATCATTTTGCAGGTGAAACATGGTATTGTAAATGGAGTGGTGCTATGAAGTTTGTTGATACTGGAATCGTGCGCACAGACTGACTCCATGCTCATGCCTTCCCTCAGGGGAATTGCTCACCATCGCATTCCTCTCTCCCTCTCTTCTTCCTTCATCTTCACTACCTTTCGTGTTGTGCCTCTATGCGTTCCGTGACTTGACGTGGGTAAAAGTGGGGCCACTTACAGATGCCAATCTTTTTTTCAATCGCTCCACCCAATTTTACCATATTTCTCCGTTTCTTTCCTTCTATGAGATTGAGCCTAACAAAATGGGTATGGAGATCCAATTTTTAGCCATAGTAAAAGGCAAAAAACAGTGCACACGAGAAGAGAGAAGGAGATACAATGTTTTACCATACGACAACTGTAATGCTAAAACTATTTGCGTAATTTAGGATTGAGCAAAAAGCAGGTTAGGGGCTCCGTCATGTCCTCTGGAAATGTTAGCAACCTTCTGGCCTTTTAGCATACAGCTTAAGGAAATCCTCCTCACCGATCTGTGGGTAACACAATGGAGAACTTACCGTCAAATCTTTACATTTTGGTTACCTTTCTCCGTAATTATCAACTGGGGAGTCACTTCATTGGAACTACTGACGTTCAAAATGCACAAACAAATAAAATCCTCCTAGTTGTAGCGACGAAAACAGTTTCCTTGGTTTTAAGCCAACATTTGCAATTTTCTTCGTTAACATTTTTGAATGAAAAATGGCCTAAATTTCTAAAGTTGTTGAGTGCCTACCATAAATGTCAGGTACATGCCAAACAAATTTTCGTTCATAACGCCCATACAAAAAGGTTAAACATATCTTCATGATTTTATTTAGCCAAGCATGGGAATATGCTTTCAGGATTAGAAAGGAGACTCAATAATAGAATAAGATGTTGGAAAAATGATGTTCTCATCAAAAAAATATTTCCATTTACTGCTTTTTAATCATGGGGCATTATTTTACGAGGTTATTCCGCCGACCAACTGTTTGGGATTAGGGAATGTGGAGATTGAGGAGCATGATGAGTGGAGTGGAGGCGTGGATAGGGGTGAGAGAGCATAAAGGGAGAGGAGAATTTGGGGCATTGTGGAAATGGGACGTCCACCACTAATCTTCCCACTAGTCAAAACGCCCTTTACATTCTACGATTGCACAATCACCTAATAACTTGGGAGAAATGTCAAACACACACACGCACACACCCGATGCAC